GGGGGGGGGGGGGGGGGGGGGGGGGGGAAAGTGGGGGGGGGAAGGGAAACAGGACTATCTTTGCTATTACAGGTTAAAACGTAAGATCAAGAAAAGCATAGGTTTTACAAGATGTGATGGACACTAAAAGGTTTAAAAGACTACTTACATTCAGAAATGAAGATCTATCAAAGGCTATTCTACAATTAGAAACCTGTTTACTATGGAACGTCAGTTGCTGGGAACAGCACCAACAGAAGAATGCCCTGGTTGTAGACTTCTCAGGGGCAACTAACCAACACTGGCAAGTGGGTAATGACTAGCGCAATTCCTCATATGCACCACAAGGTACTTCATGATTTAAGTAAACAGAGTCTCCATAGTTCTAGTTTTAATACTCTACCTATCATACCACACTGTTTTCAGTTATACTGTAGAAACAGAGTTATCCCTTTGACACCTAATATATATTGGGGGGGGGGGGGTAGGGAGGGAGAGAATGAGAATGAAAAGGAGAGAAAACAATCCATTCCTACCCAGACAAAAAGTGGAAAACCAAACTGAAAAGGTGAGAAAGGGACAAATTTAATATACCGAGATAAACTCACGTTATATCTCTTCAAACCACCAAGGGCCTCGCTTGGCAACCTGTCTATCCCCCGCCCCTTCTGCTGCCATTGCCCACTCTCATTAGCCACAATGTCTTTCATGCCAGTGTCAGCCCAGCAGCTCATGCTGCATTTTAAGTTTCCATTCAACTCCAAGCCAGGCTGTCCTTAGTTTCTAATTTGAAAATAAAAAGAGAACCTCCAGGGAAACATGCTCAATAATGAATCAAATGTGCTCAGAACATTGTTATGGGTTTTACATTAAAAAAAAAAAAACTGCTTTGCCAGAAATTTTACCTTCACATCTTCATCTAGTTTCATGATCTTCTTAATGCGTGCCAACGGGAGCTCCTGAACTCTGAAGTCTTTCTGCAGAGAGTAACACAAGAGAGACCTGACATTATCCCTCAAAACCCACAATCAGTAAAGGGTGAGACATCTGTCCAACTATATGGTACAGGATATTGTACGTATTTCCCTCAGATATGATAAATTCCCATATGCTGCTGCTCCTACTCTTTTTCATTAGTGATCCATTGTTACAATTATGCAGGTCTGCAAAGAGCAGCAAGATTTCCTGCAACACAACAAAACTCTCCAGAGATGCTTCAATAAATATACAACTAGATATATTGCTAATGGTTTCCATGGATGTTCAACCCAAAGTCTGTATTACACTGAAATCCACTAAAATGTACGTTGGCAACCATCCAGCTAAACAAACTTCTCTTGACAATTCCTTGTCATTCTTTTCCCAAATTAGGTAAACTGCATAACCTTCAAGCCCCTGTACCAGCTCAGGAACATCGATGTCTCACAGACAGATCTGTGCAACTAAAATCAATCTCTCTCTCTCCAGCATTAAAATATGTAGCATAGCTCAAGGTCTGATACCACAGGGTCAATCATGCTTGAACAAATAACATTCTGCCCATTTTCCCCTAGAAGCTGGAAAAGAACCGTTCCTAAAGTCTTTGGGTACTTATGGGACACACAGAAAAAGCAACTTTTTTTTTTTTTGCTCGTAATTGCCAAGCAAATGGCATATGGTTAGCCCATTCCTTCTGACTGTGACAGCTCAAAATGGGGAAACCCCAGCTAAAGTAGCATAAGCAGAACAGAGTCAAAATACAGCAGAGTTCAGTTCTCCCTTTAAACCACTCTCAGAATAACCACTTAAGAGTGAGGGTAGGGTCGGAGGGATATTTGCCAGTTTGCACTAAGCTTAGGTTCAACTCTTCCTGTTCCTTTTGCATGCAAAAATAATCAGGCCTGTTCTGTGTATTCCAGGAGGGGATTAAAAACCAACAACCAACAACCTCCCCAGCTTGATTTGTAGCCATTCTTGGCCTTATACACCTAGTAGTGAAAGTATACAAGATGAGTGTCAAAAGGAATAGCTTGGTTCATATCATCTCCATATTTAACCAGGGCCACTTGGGTAAATCTTACCAGGTAGAGAAGGTAATATTAGGATGTTGAGCATTTTCAAGTGGCACACAAAACCCAAGCTATGAGGTAGGCTTTAAAATCTATCTGGAACCTTGATCTGGCCCTGGAAATTAAAAGGGCTATACTGCAGCTGCCATGGTATCAGGTGAAGATGTTTGCTTTTCCTCATTCTTGAAAGCAACAAGATTTTGTACTTCCCAAGAGTTTGTACTTCCCAAAGCTTCCAAGTTACTTGGGAAGAACTGCCATAAAGACTATAGTCTGCAGGAAGAAATGTGGCAGAACCACCTGAGCTGAGCACTCTGCTTCCAGCTCCGATATCGGAGATGGTTGGGGAAGGCAGTTCTTTGCTCCACCAGCAAAAACAAAAAACACAAGGCTAGAAGTAACACCACGTTATGGCAGCAACTCCATCAAGCTTCTGTTGTGAGGATTCTGGTTGCTGCCAATCCAGTGTAGCAGCAATATTTCCTCCAAGTAGTCGAAACAAATCTGGTGGTTCCAAGTTGCTGGGACGTTTAGAACAGTGGCTTGGATTCTTCTATTAAGAACAGCCTCTCCCAAACTGAGCGCTTCCTAGATAAGTGGACCAACTTCTCAGCAACAGCTATGGTGGCAGAAAATTCTTGGAGTGGAAGTCCACACATCTGGTGAATGCCTGAGCTGAAAATGCTGAATTGAAAGAACAATTACAAGGTTCCCCCCAAAGGCACGTGTCCATGACCTTCAGGACATGCCTTCCATTTGTATGAGGTGTCTGCAAGGCCAGAGAAAGCAGGAAAGCCTGCTACAGAGTCTCAGCACCATAAAGGAAACCTCTATCATGCAGGGGTTTCTAGGCAAGACAAGTTGGTCTGCATGAGAACATTGAAACAAGACGGACTGGAAAATGACTGCTCTAAGAAATACAAGAAGAAAAAGCATTCCCTTCTTCTTCTCAGCACAGTATCATCATGAGGGCAGTCGCCAAGAATGCCTGTCTCAAGCTCATATCAGGTACTCAACTAAGTGCACATCTCTTGTTTGGATTACACAGAGCTCAACAATGAACACCAAGGTTCTTCAAATGAAAGGAAACCTGAACTTCTGTACTCCTGCTGCTCACTTGGCACAGCCACAACAGAAGACAGAATTATAAATATACATGCACACACGCACACACAGTGTAAATTCAAGACATAATTTCAGCACTCATCACAAGCAAGATAGCTGCAGATAAGGTTTTTTCCCCCTTTTTGTGGTAAACATCTTTTTTCCATAGCCCAAGGCAGAAAAGTTACGGCCCAATCTTCAAGGTTGTGTTTAATCATGGTGCAGTGCATTATTTTATGTCATCAGAATGCCCAAAATTTTAAAAAACTACCATTTCTTGGAAGCCTGTAGAGTAAAACTCTTAACCATGCACAGCTGAAATCTTAAAGCTTCTATGTGGCAGACCTCTGGGTACCAAGGGATCAGAGTAATTAATTCTAGTTTTTTAGGCTCTCTACTGGGCTCCAAAAAGGTGGTTCCAAGTGTCACATGAAAATGTGAAGCTTTTTTTAGCATGCTGGTTCTGTGCTGGGCTCTGGGGTTTAATGTGTTCCTTTTTCTAAGCTAGCAGCTTTTTCTTGGAAGTGGGGGAGGATGTTCAATTAAATCAGACTACAGTTAAGGATCAAGACCTAAACCGTGTGGAGATACAATTCTCTAAGAAGGTCTTGTTAAGAGTCCCCACACAGAAAAGTTCCAGTTGCTTATTTTTAGCCTCATGCAAGCATTTTAAATAAAGCTTGACAAAATCAGCAATGCTTCAAGGAGGAGGATTTAATAGATACTATTTAGTTCTCTTCCTTGCAATTAGATGCTATCCTGGCTTTTCTCTTCTTTTTTTCTCTGAAGAGTTCAATATTCAAGCCGTGGGAAGGAAACCACAGAATTCTACAAAAGTCCCATCCTACACAAATCTGTCAGCAGCACAGAGGACAATGACCCAATCAAAATCCATCTTGGAATATAAAAGATCCCTGCTACAACACTACAAGGGCCTATCTCATTCCCAACCCAGTTTTTAACAGAAGTCTTTAGGAAGGCTTCATAGGCAGCTGTTTTCCCCCATCACTGTCCTTTAACATCTACTATGCAAAGCCATACTGCCTCTGGACATAAGAATTCCACTTAGAACATATCTACATATATTCTCCAGGATAGTCTGCTCCAATCTGGGACCCTCAATATGTGTTGGGGCAGCAACTTTCCAAATTTCCCAACCAGCTATGCTGGCTGAGGCTTTCTGGGAATGGCAACATCACCACTTCTTTAAGATTTTGTCTAATCCTCAGCAACTGTTCCACTATCTCTACAGTACTTATCCTTTCCCACACTTTGTATGAGTGATGTTTCCTTCAGTCGAAATAAGATTACTAATCTAAATAGAGCCAACTGGGGAGCTTAAGGGATGCATATGTTTGGCCTCATCCATTGGCCAGGGATCTTTTTTGCTTTCCAAGAAGATTATCATGGAAAGCTCAGTCTGGTCCCTTTTATTGGCTAGAAAATGAGCACCACAAAAAGCTTGTTTACTCTAGCTAGAATGCTCAGGCCTTAACAACCCATAAGGAGACAAAAGGAAATCAATCTGACTTCATGTAGAGAGTAGCATCTACAAATGCCCAGGCTTATTAGAATATTTGGAACAACACAAAGAAAAACAAGCCACATTGATCTTTTTGGATGTAGAGAAGGCTTTTGACAATTTGAACTGGACTTTCCTGTTTAAAGTTATGGAAGATATGCATTTTGGAGAGAATTTTATAAAATGGGTAAAATCGATTTATACTACACAGAAAACACATATAATTGTTAATGGAGATTTAACAAAACCATGTGAGATACAAAAAGGAACAAGACAAGGCTGCCCATTGTCCCCTCTCCTGTTTATTTTGGTTCTTGAAATATTGAATAGAGACATAAGACAGGATGAGAGGATCATGGGAGTAAAGATTTAAAAAGACTTGTAAGTTAAGAGCTTTTGCAAATGACTTGGTGTTGGTTCTGGAAGATCCTTTAAAGGTAATTGAAACATTAATGGGCAAATTATTTTAATTTGGTGCATTAGCAGGTTTTAAGATTAATAAACAGAAGATGAAGATGTTAATAAAAATATGAAAATACAAGATCAAAATAATTGATGAATAAAACAGGTTTTAAAATTAAGCAAGTAAAATATTTGGATATCACTTTGACAAACATGAATTGTATGTTATTTTAAAATAATTAAGACATGGAATGAAATTTAAAAAGATATGTTGAGATACAGTGGGGCAAAAAAGTATTTAGTCAGCCACCAATTGTGCAAGTTCTCCCACTTAAAAAGATGAGAGAGGCCTGTAATTTTCATCATAGGTATGAGGATTGGGAGAATGTCATATGGTCAGATGAAACCAAAGTAGAATGTTTTGGTCTAAACTCAACTTGTCGTGTTTGGAGGAGAGAGGAGGATTGGGAGAATGTCATATGGTCAGATGAAACCAAAGTAGAATGTTTTGGTCTAAACTCAACTTGTCGTGTTTGGAGGAGAGAGGAGGATTGGGAGAATGTCATATGGTCAGATGAAACCAAAGTAGAATGTTTTGGTCTAAACTCAACTTGTCGTGTTTGGAGGAGAGAGGAGGATTGGGAGAATGTCATATGGTCAGATGAAACCAAAGTAGAATGTTTTGGTCTAAACTCAACTTGTCGTGTTTGGAGGAGAGAGGAGGATTGGGAGAATGTCATATGGTCAGATGAAACCAAAGTAGAATGTTTTGGTCTAAACTCAACTTGTCGTGTTTGGAGGAGAGAGGAGGATTGGGAGAATGTCATATGGTCAGATGAAACCAAAGTAGAATGTTTTGGTCTAAACTCAACTTGTCGTGTTTGGAGGAGAGAGGAGGATT